GTTCCTATGTGTGCAAGCACAAATAGCAAATAAAGTTCTTGAATTTTGAATCCACTCTAGAATATATATTTTCATTGATATATGTACAGCCATGACTGAAGTTTTAAAGTTTTGTGTGAATGATATAAACTTGATTATACCTTAGGTGGCAGGCCACCCTGGTAGGCAGGCCAGCTGCAGGAGTAGCCAATGGGACGGCCCGTAGCATTTAAAGCCTCTGACATGAGAGGGTAGCCTGTCCAAAAGAGGAACAAAAGTAAAGATCAAGTCAACAAGTTCACCAGTAACCACAACATTAGTCACCGGTTCTGTTCTTACCCTGCTCTTGCTCTGTGGCATTAGAATAACAGCCGTCAAATTTAAACATATCCACCTCCCAGTCAGCAAAGGTCTGAGCATCTATCTTGATCTTGTCCAGTGTGGTGCCGGGGTAGCCACCACAAGTGTGTGTGCCCATGTCCCCGTAGATCCCCAGCTTAAGACCCCTGTCGTGCAGGTAGCGTGAAAGTTTAGGGATGCCTCCTGGAAACCTGATGACGAGTAAGGAAAAAAAGGCAGTTATGATGTTATACTAGATCATACTTATGCTGATGCTGCATACAATACAGCATACACTGCACATTAGTGAAAATTACTGTCATATGACTGTCACATTGTTATCACCTTGTTTTATTGACTTAGAGGCTTCGAAGTTATAGATTATTGTTTGCACTGAGAAGCAACGGCTCTGTGTGTGTGTGTGGGTGTGTCGGTCTGTGTGAGTATTCAGTACATACGGGACCATTACCTTTTCGGGTCTGGCTGCAGCCGTCCCTCCTTGTCTCTCTCCATGGAGGACCAGCAGTCATCTATGTTCACATAGACGTATCCGAGTTCCCTCCAGCCGTCCTCTGAGAGTCTGTCTGCCATGTCAATGAACAGATTCTCACTGAAAGACAGACAGAAATGTGTCATTAAAAGGTGGAATAAAGAGCAAACACATCTGATGCAAATAATAAATCTGCAATAGATGTTTTTTTTTGGATAAACACTTGCTCATTTACACATACAGCAGTTACGGAGCAACATGAGCATTCATTTGGAGTCATGTTTCTGTCCACCTGATCAATGTTGAGTCAAATATGCACTCTCTTTTAGCTCTGTTTTATGTCTCTTCCACCTCCTGAGGGAAATATCTGGCTCTTTAGCTGCTAAACGCTCCACTATGTTCACCAGCTAGATGCTAACTGTGTTTGTCTGCTGTTTTGGGCTAAGCAAGTAGGTGTGCAGTGGGTTTTTAAAGTTTTGTTGAAAACAAAAAATGAACCAAAACAGTCAAGTTGTGGGTCCAGATGGCTAAACAATGAGCTGATAAAACACCATAAAGCCAAAGGGAGCAGCAGATTCAGGTGATAATTCTCTGTTGGTTTATCACTACGCGCAAAGCCCCCTTTTGAAAGCATTTGTTGCATGTAATAGCTAATAGCAAATTCCACCCCAAATAGCAGCTGCCCTTAAAGAAGACGCTTTAGTGAGATCACAGAGTGTAATATTCATTTTAATGGTGGCTTGCCTGATGCAGTTCTTGGGATCGTGTTCACAGTCAATGTCACAGCGGAATCGCTCCCATGCCAACCAGCCCATGGGAGGGGTCCTCATCACTCCATTGTCGAGGGCGAAGGTGGCCACAGAGAGGGCAGAGGCGAAGAGAAGCACCGCCGAATGCATTCCTACAGAGGAAAAAACACTTGAAGCTGAATCAGATGTCAGTGCTGTATGCTCACTGACGTTACAGGTAAGGTTTTCTGGGTGTGTACAAGGTTATAGCCACCGTGTTTATACTGTCATTGTATTTGAGTGGCAAGCATCATCACTCACAAGCACACACAACCACACACAACCTGAGTCTCACCTGACTGGGTGTGATCAACAACCCGCCAGGTGACCTCTCCCATGATTTTGTCTCATGTCACCTGACTAACCCTAACCTCAGTAGGCTACTTATTATAGAAGACATAAAGTTCTTACAACTAGGCACATACAGTACAGGTGGAAATAAGCCATACCATAAAGCACAACATTGACTGTAAGATTCCTGTTCAAACCTGCTACTAAACTGAAGCTTTTCTATTATTAAGCAAGCAGCATTCAATAACTGACTAACTAAACTAATTGTATCCTAAAAGAAAATGAAAATGGATTTTTTTTTTAAATGAATAGTACACCTGGTTTGACAGCCAGTGTTTGCTGGCATGTATCCATATATTTGAGATCGTGAAAACATGAGCTCACTTACTTGAATTCTCAGTTATGGGACTGCAGACGAAAGAGGGTCGAGTCTCCTCCACTCTCTGATCCTCTGCTCTCACTCACTCCGCTCCGATCTTTAAACAAATCCCGTAATAAACTATCTCTGACAGACTTTAAAGACATAAACGGGGATTCTCCAATAGGAAATGAAACAAAGGGTCACATGACGAAGCGGCACAGTTAGTCAGCTGACTAGAGAGCCGGAAGGAAACGGGAGGGGAAGAGCCGGGCCGCGTACCATTTTTTTTGTTTTCCTCACCTCAGTTCATTTGTTTGTCTTTGAAAACAACTTGCAACAACAACGGTTGACAGAGAGCTAGCAGAAGCACTTGTTATGGTATTAAAAAACAACATCACTCTTTCACTGCTTGTCTTTTTTAGCAAGTTGTTTAATTCATTAGGGAGACCGCATAAAGTATGTAGGTGTAATTACTAGCAAGTCATTTATAAAAAGATGTCTGTTCCTAAATTTCTAATAAATCATCTCCAAAAGTAGTGTTGGTGGTTTAATCCCCTTAATTTTTTTTTACATGTCAGATTTCTCTTCCTTTAATTCTTTTTTAAATTATGATGTTTGACTTTTCAACAAAATTTATATTTGTTATTCACATAAAAAAACAGGTGACTAAATGTAACTTAAGTGTATGTGATGTACTCTTAGCTGTGATCAATGTACTATGAATAAAGTTGACGTTAAAACAAAGCATCAAAAGTTGTCAGTCACCTATAAAAGTTAAAAACTAGTTAATTCATAATAAGAATGACTGATTGAAGAAATCTTGTATAACACACTATAACTAAACACTAGAAGTTGTAACCAAGTTAACAGCCTATTGCAATTTTAAAATTTAAATCCTGTTAAAGAAGTTACAGCTTAATAAACTGACAGAATACAAAAAATAGCTGCTGAAAGTGCAGTACAGTCATATGTTTGTGACCTGTATGCACCTCAATAGTATTATTAGGCCTTTGACGGAACTTGGTTTTTGGGTTAAAGTCATTCCAGTAAACATGAATTTGTATATAACAGAAGTTCCAACGTAGCCTGAAGTGAGCCCCACCAAGTGCACCTTTACTCTGATGAGGTAACTCGACATCGAGGAAGTGCATTGTCTAACGAGCACCGCTACACCTAAAAGATTTCAAATCTGATGAAACAAACCATTTCCCAGTTGAAAAGACAAGAAGTCACAGAACAATAAACCCACAACACAATTTTTTTTTTTAAATTAGATTCACAAGCCATTCAGAACAGTGGAACAACATCTTGACAGACAGTAACTATTAAAATGTAAACAATCAGAAGACCTAGCCTGGCAGTGGCCTTTATTATTAACTGTGCTTTTTTGGAACAGCCCATGTTTTTTTTTTTTTCCCCCTTCAGCTTTGGCAACTGACATGATATCTGAGATTAGTCCTTTGAGTACCTGATGATATACAGGTGAGGTCTCAGTAAAAACAATCTTATCAAGAGCCACAGCACTGAGGCAGAAACTGATGCAAATATTACATGATAAAGGTCAGTGAGCAGTCAAGACATTGAGGAATGGCGCCTTCGTCGGTAGAAGCCTGGAGTTTTCCACCTTTATAGAAGAGATAGACGTTCAGTTTGGTGGGAACAGACGTACCACATGACCACACCTGTGGGGTTTACAGGCACCACAAAATCAGTGTAGTCTTTCAGCGTCATGGTCTCGTCAGTGAAGACATCAATGATCTAAGGGACCGTATAATAACAACAGAAGTATGCATCTAGTTAGCAAACTCCAACATAAAGACAGGCATCATCCTTTGTATTCAGAACTTCAATGTTACAGTACAGTACAGGTTCAGCACAGATAATTAAGACATACCTTGTAGCGGCCAGTGGTATAGTCAAGTTTGCGGAGGGAAGTCTTGTAGCGGTAGGACATGTCATTGCGACGGCTAAAGAATACCAATGCACTGGCATCGTTTGACAGGGGGCGCCAGAACACTTCCATGCCACTCTTCTACTGGAGGAAAGAAAAGGACGAGGAAATGTGAATGACAGAATAAGACTAACCCTAACCCTAACCCAGAGGCCAGAAGAAAATACTTTAATGAACTGAAGAGGGTTTTGGCTTTTTTATTAGGATCCATGAAAAAGTGCATTACCTTCACAATGCGTCTTCCCTGGATGCCCATGGGGTCCTGGTTGATGCTGATCACCATTTTGTTCTGCAAGATGCTGCGAGCCCCACTGCTGATGGTGCGCAAGTCATTGGACATGAAAAGAGGAGCGCCCACAGAGCCATCTGCGACCGGGACTGGTCCATACTGAGGCCGAAGTCTCCAATAACCAGCTGTGGAGGTCAGAATCACACAAGATGACATATTTTATACCTAAAACCTTTTTTTAGACTAGCCACTGTGGCCTAAATTCATACTAGAATTCTTTACAGCAGGTACTACGTACTCTAGTATAACATTTTAGCAGTTAGTATACAGATACACTACTAATGTTTGCAAGTTTGGAATGTCACTGCTGAGTATTTTGCTCCTTTCCATTGTGAACACACTGGATACTTAAAACCTGCTCAGGTTGTATCCTAACCTTAGGGACAGACCATATAGTAAATAATGAAGCCTATGATGTGACGAAAAGGGGAAGTTGTTCACACCATATCAGGGTCATTCCACCCTCCAGGTCCACCTGCAGGTATCAGGAGATCCTGGTTCTCAGAGAACCAGTCAATAATCTCCAGGACACTGTCCCAAGAGTCCTTGACATCATAGTAGTTACGCCACAAGTTGCAGATCTCGCCCAGCTGAGTGTAGTTTACCTGAAAAGAAATCAGTATCACATGGCAGAAGTAAGAGTCCATTTCCACTGGGAATGAACTACAATGGACAAAAATGACTTTTATCCGGAAACATCCAATGGTATACAAGTTTATGGATCTGTAACCAGTATCCAGATCTATGTATATCAGATCATGTGAAAATAAAATCTGTAATCTTCTGCATACGGACAGTATCTGTCCGTATGCAGTTAGGCCCAGAAATATTTGGACAGTGACACCATTTTCATAATTTGGGCTCTGCATGCCACCACAGTTTTTGATCTTAATCGTCAGTTTCAAGTCCTTTTCAACACAGCATGATGTTCATTTAAAGGTGTAACTTCTGATCCTATTTAGAGGAAAATAGACGATAAAGCAGTTTATGCTTTAGGACGGGGCCTGTGATTGAAGTCTGTGGCGACCCTGTCAATCAAGCTACAGTGACTCTATCTACTGCACTGTACATTTTAGCCCCGACATAGAAAAACTTATTAGGAGTCGGCTGTTAATATTTTCCGGTTAGTACATTTGTTTTAGGCAAAAATAGCGTCTCCTGATTGCAGCAGGGTTAGCTCAAACAGTGGCATCGGCAGCTCACAGTGGCATTTCTGATGCAGGTGGAGATGCCAACGATTTTCCTGAGATGCACGGCATCTTTCACGTTTATATAGGTATTTCAGGGTGGCAGTCTAGGATGACGATCACTGCCCGCTGTACGGGTTGTCCGGTT